TAATAATATGGTAATTATTATAGTAATAATAGAGCTTCAGTTCCCTAAATTAATAATAATTATAAATAATAATAATAATAATAAAAATGCATAATACGTACGTAATAATGTGTGAGCTTGTTTGATAGGAGTGAATGGAGACAAATGGTTTTTAATACTTGACGTGCTGTTGGAGTGTGAGCAAAGTAACATTTATGAAGGGGTTCAGGGAAACCGGCAGGCCGGACTTGAGTCCTGGGATGGAAGTACAGTGCCTGCACTCTGAAGGAGGGGGTTTTAATGTTGCAGTTTAAAAACTTTAGTGTAAAGCACCCTTCTGGCAAGACAGTGATGGAGTGAATGATGGTGAAAGTTTTTCTTTTTTGGGCCACCCTGCCTTGGTGGGAATCGGCCAGTGTGATAATAAAAAAAAAATAATAATTCAGATTGCTTCTGCTAGTTGGCACAGCTGGTAAGCAGTAAATAGGGTTTACATTGCTGTCGGAGCAGTTTTCTCATGCTTGTATTTTTTACAGTCATTTGCCCAAAATTTTCTTTTTTCTAACCATGGATCCTAAGAAAATAAGTGCAAAGGACAGTACTTAAAAAGAAAAGGATGATGATTTCCATCAACATCCCTCACCCACGCTTTATATACACCGTTTTTATACGATATTTCTTGTTTATAAATACAGTGGACCCCCGCTTAACGATCACCCCCAATGCGACCAATTATTAAGTGTAATTTTTGTAAGTGTGTTTGTACGTGTATGTTTGGGGGTCTGAAATGGGGCTAATCTACTTCACAATATTCCTTATGGGAACAAATTCCGGGCAGTACTGGCACCTGAACATACTTCTGGAATTTATTTATTTATTTATTTTTTTATTTATTTTTATTATTTTTTTTTTATAAAATTTTAGCACACTTACAGATTTCAAAAAAAAAATACAGATAAGAGCAGCATGCCAAAGCCACTTTATACTATGCATAGCATTAAAGGGGTGGCTAAAATTAAATTTAAGTTAACTAAGCAATGATGAAATCAGTGAAAAACAATTAATGTAAACTGATTACTATAAAGCACAAGTGAGTAAATTTCAAAGACAGGTCATATGGTTGCATGCATTGTTGTAAATTCAGAGAATGGAAATATTCTGGGTTTGGTAGTGAATTTAAAAAAATAATAAAATTAGATTGGGTTTTAGGTTTAACTTTTATGTGATATAATTGTGAGAAACATTTAAGATTTTAAAAATTTTTAAGGTTCATTATTCAGTATTTATTTTGGGTTTTGGTGTGAGTAAGTGATCTTTGAGAAGAGACTTGAATTTATAAACAGTAGTGTTTCTTTATATTAACAGGTAATGAATTCCAGATTTTAGGGCCTTTTATGTGATTGAGTTTTTGCCTAGCGTGAGATGGACACGAGGGAAAATCAAAGAGTGATTGTGCCTTGTGTTAAGGTCAGTGTTCTGTTGGGGTTGGGCAAGGAGATGTTTGAGGGGGGGTTTTAATATCAGAGTTGTTCTATGTTGTAATAGGTGCAGTAAAAAAGGGGATTTTTTGTATGGTGAGTGGGTTTGAGGTATTAAATTGGTGGGTGTGCTCCCGTAGTGAAAATTTTGTTATCATTCAACTGCAGCCTTTTTTTGGGGTAATAGTGGCTGAGATGGTTCTTGTTGTTGAGCCCATGCACAAACCCCATAGGTGAGATGGGGGAAAATAAGGAGTGTATAGGGCCAGGGGGGCGACTGTGGGGCTTTATCCCTATTTTCGATAGTATCCCTACGTTTGGAAATTTTTTCTTAGAAATTTGTTGTTTGTGTAAAAATTTGGTCTATTTAAAGGGGGAATTTCCTAAAAATTTTCCCTGTTGCTTTGTGTAGGTGACCCGTTTATTTTTATTTTAAAGAGGGACATTTTACTTTTTTTCCCAAACTGAAAAGAAGTGGGTTTTTGTAAATGTTTAGGAAATTTTGTTATACTCTCCAGGTAGATTTTTTTCTTAATTCGGTATTTACAGTATTTGGGTAGCTTGATGGGCTCGGGTGGGGGAAGACGTAGTTGTGTCATCGCAAATAGTGGGGTTTGAGAATTGAAAGCATTTTGGTAGGGCATTTAGTATAGGGGAAAGGAAAGGGCAAGGACACTTCCCTGTGGGACACCAACTGTAAATTTGGGTTTTGCAGAAGAGTTTTCCCCATTTGCGTACACATATTGGCTTCTGTTGCTGAGGTATGCTTGAGGTAGTTGAGGGAGTGCCCTCTTATACCATAGTGTGTTTAATTTTTTACGTGGAGCAAGTCATGGTCAACTGTATCAAAGCTTTACGTAAGTCATATGAAGATCCCCAGTGGACTTCTTTTTTCTCTATTGCAGTGTATATATGTTCTAGCATGTGTTTTTAATAGCTCATAGTATTTTTATTAGGCTAAATTTCCAAATTGGCAGGGGGTTGAGTATGTTTTGGGAGATAAGGGTGGAGTAGATTCGTTTATGAATTAATTTTTCGAAGATTTTTGAGAGAGGGTGTAAGTTGGATATTGGCCTATAGTTATTCAACTCTGTTTGGTCTCCTCTTTGTGGTCGGGGTGACCCTTGCTATTTTGAGTACTGTAGGGAAGGTGGAGGATTCAATGGATTTGTTAAAGAGTGTTGCAATGATTGGTGATAGCACTTGTGACACTTTTTTGTATATAAAGGGTGGTAAGGTATTTAAATCTCCTGTCTTGTTTTTTTAGTGCGTTGATAATAGGGAGACTTCTTTATGGGTTAGTCGGAGCTAGGAACAGTGTGTTCGGGTTAGTTGCCGGTGAGGTAGTCATTTGGTGGGTATCTGAGCTTGGATTTTATTGGCAAGGTTTTGTCCTATAGTGGAAAAGAAATCATTGAGTCTGTTTGCTGTTTCTGTTGGGGGGAGTTGGGGTTCATCTGATTTTGCTAATTTTATTTCGCTATTTCGTGATATTTTTTTGTTCCAGAATTTCTGATAGGGTTTTCAGGTCTTTTTTTATCACCTCGTAATTTTGGATAATCTGTTCTCATAATACCAATTTTTTTGCCCTTCTTATCAGGCTGGTTAGGATTGACGAGTAACGTTTTGTTTGGTCTTGGTTATGTGACCCATTCTGTACTGGGTTTTTTATTTGGTGTTTTGTATTTATGGATTTGAGAATGCTGGGGTGTTAGCCAGGGACTGTTTTAGTCTCTTAGCTGTCATCTGCTTAGTTTTTTTTAGGGCAGTGCTTGTTTTAGAGGTATTGAGTCTTTTTTAGAAATTTATTAATACATTCGTCAATATCTGTATTGATTTCTAGCTCAGTGTGCCAATCAATGTTTGCTAATGCTGTTGTGAAGTTATTAATGGCTGCCTCATTGTGAAGTCTGAAGGTGACTTTTTGTAGTGTCTTGGGGTAATTTACCAAGAGTTGTTAAAGAGGGGAAAATGGGTAGTGGTCTGTGGTATTATCTGTAAAATTTTGCCTGATTTTAAAGGGGATATGGTGTTGGTCCCGATGTGGTCAAGTAGGGAAACACTAGTCTCTGTTTAAATCTTGTAGGGTTTTTTTACTGTTGGTAGCAAATACAGTTACCATTGTGTTTGTGAATTCAGTAACGTGTGGGTCCTGGTCTTGCAGGAGATTTATATTGAAGGTCACCTGAGAGTAGTAAGTGATCTTTGTTCATGCGTGCATCAGTTATCATACTTCCTAGGTTTTGACTAAATTGGCTAATGTTTGATGTGGAAACTCTGTAGATGTTTATCAATGTGAGAGGTTTTTGTAGGTATTTGGATTTGAATTTGGCTATTATATATTCCCCATGTTCATCTCTTGTGCAAGATTAGTGTTTAATTTATTTGGTCTGAGTAGTATATGGCTGTGCCACCCCCTTGTTGGTCATGGCTACATTTGTGTATGGCTGTTAAACCGGAATGGTTAGACATCTGTAGTATCAGGCTTTACCCAGGTTTCAGTTAGTTTTAATGATGGACATATTGGCATGTAAGGAATTTAGTAATGCTATGAGGTCATCGTAATGCTTGTTTAAAAGATCTGATATTGTAGTTAAAGATGTTATGTTGTTGTTGGCACTGAGAAGTGCCTTTGATTGTTCTGCAGTGTAGTAATTACAGTAACTGTTTGATTCATTTAAGTCATTAAATAAGAGGTTGGTATCTGGATCAAAGCTTGTAATCATAAAATTTTGTAGTGAATCTATAGTTAGAATTAAGTATAAAACAAAGTAAATAGTCTTAAGCTAAAAAATAGCACCTGAATTATTTAACAAATGTAAAATAATGGGCTAAGGTATTTTTTTTTTTTTTTTTTTTTTTTTTTTTTTTTTAAGCTAAAATAAAGGAGACAATATAAAAGGGACTAGTACAAATAAAGTGATGATCAAATAATGGAGCTTGGGAATATGATAGTAGGTAGTACTATAAAATAAATGAGCTTTGGAATATAATGCCAAAATTGTGAACTTGTTCTACTTTAGCACCTGAGAATATCGTTAACCGGGGATCCACTGTACATTATTTCAGTGTTTTCCTTAGAAAACTAGTGATCTACTGCAGTTAGCCTCAGAAATACTCCGTTTTCTCTTACAGTAAGAACATGGGAAGATACTAAACTCAGATTGGGACAGAAATGGCGGACGCTTCTGCCGCTACCTTTGCCACCATATTATGGCCTATTTTATTCATTCTAGAGTATATATCATCTTTATTATGTCATATTAGATGAATTGTGATAGATAAATAAGCTGTACAGTTGATATTAGTGTCATATTCAACTATTTTTTCTCTGGCCGTAGTGCAGGAACGGATTAATGGCTTTTCAATTAATTTAAATGAGGAAAATTAATTTGATATACAAGTAAATTGAGTTACGAGCTAGCTCCTGGAACGGATTAAACTCGTAAGTCAGGGTTCCACTGTATATCTAATCCAAGATATTTCTGATGATTCAGAGTTACTGTTTATTGTTTAAAATTAATTTTTTTCATGTCTTGGCAGGATTACCATTACTTCCCCTTTGAGAAGGACTCCATGGTGGCAGTGTTCATCAGCTTAGATGCAGCTGACCCGAGCAACGGTGGTCTGTGTGTGTACCCTGGGTCTCACAAGCTGGGACCTCAAGAGGACATCAGCACTGCTCCAGGGTTTCATTACCTCAGCCAAGACAAATTCCCCATCGACAAAGCCACTCCATTGACTCTAGAGCGTGGCCAGGTATAAATATAACTCTCTGAGTCTACATAATGATAAATATCTTTGTTTTAATTATCTTGCTAAGGCCTTATTTTAACAAGCTGGTCATCTCCCACCATCGCTCACTCAGTAGCTGTTTTGCCAAATGTGCTTAGACGTCAGATGACCCTCTCCACTCCTCCTTTGATTTGAATGCAGGCACTGTTCTTCCACCTCTAAGCTTCAAGTCCATCTGACCGGTTTCACTGAATCCGTTCATAAATGTTACTTTGCTCACACTCCTGTACAACAAGCCACAAAATCTCTCTTTAAATCCCCTCTTATGGTTGAGGTCAACTTATGGCCAGTAACATATGGTAATTATTTTGTCTCAAACAAAATGTAATTTACATGCAATAAAATATTGTTGAGACAAAAGAAGTCACTAGCTGCAGTGCATTTTGGGCGGGACTGATCCTAATGCTTACAGACTACAAAATGAGGTAGCTAAGGAAACAAGAGTCAATTTTAGCATGTATTAACCCCTTCAGGGTCCAAGGCCAAAATCTGAAGTGGTGCTCCAGTGTCCAAGAAATTTTGAAAAAAAAAAAAAATTATTTTTTCTTACAAAATTTAAACCCCTTTTGACTGTTTCCGACGTATTAAATACGTCTTACGAGCCAATGTTTCTGACGTATTTATACGCATAAATTCTAGCAGCTTCAAATCAAGCAGGAGAAAGCTGGTAGGCCCACATGTGAGAGAATGGGTCTCCATGGTCAGTGGGCACCATATAAAAAAAATCGGGGAGCCAGTGGTGCATTGTGGGAATGCCATTTCAGTTGTCATTTTTCAGCATGTCTAGCGGTAAGAAATATGTGATTCCCCAGCAAATCTGGGACTTTTTCTCTTCCCAAGTGATGCTTAAACACAGATGGAAGTGTCAGTGAAGTTAATTTTATGATTTGGAGGAGTTTGAGACCAAAAGCAATGGAGGAGGAGGAGGGAGGAAGAGGGGAGGAGGAGGAGGAGGAGGAGGAGGAGGGGGAAGGAAGAGGAGGAGGAGGAGGAGGGGAGGAGGGGAGGAGGAGAAGAGGAGGAGGAGGAGGAAGAAGAAGATGTAATAATATTGTTCCCTTGAGGCAAGAAAAAAAAAAGTCCACCCATGACAGTGACAAGTAAGGGGAGATAACATCTGATAAGAGCTGACTTTGATGAGCGTAAAGGAGGGTAATATTACATGACCATCGCCCCCTTTGTTTTTGCTGGTACACAAACATTTCTGTCTGTCTATTTGTCTGTCTGTCAAGTTCCCCGTCTGTCCATCTAGCTCTCTGTCTCAGAGGAGCCACAAGACTGTGTCATCACGTTTACTCACATCTTCAAGCAGAGTATAGCACTTTGTCTGGATTTCTTGGGTTATCCTAGGTAATTTACACTATGTATACTTGTATTTATGTGTACCTGTGAGACAGAGATAGGCAGACAGATAGAAAGAGAGAAAGATTGAAAGATATAGAATGAGGAAGAAAGATAATTAGATAGAATGGAGGAGGGGAAGCAGCATCCGACCCCATTGTTTTGACAGGCGGTAGGGGTAGGGGACTAATGAGACAATATGTCACTTTGACAGCTGCCGACTTCTGACTCAAAACAATTTATAAGCCACACACTCGCACACAAGACAAGGAGGAGGAGAAGGAGGAGGAGGAGGAGAAGGAGAAGGAGAAGGAGAAGGAGAAGGAGGAGGAGGAGGAGGAGGGGAGGAGAAGGAGAAGGAGGAGGAGAAGAAGGAGAAGGAGGAGGAGAAGAAGGAGGAGGAGAAGGAGGAGGAGAAGGAGAAGGAGGAGGAGGAGGAGGAGGAGGAGGAGAAGGAGAAGGAGGAGAAGGAGAAGGAGGAGGAGGAGAAGGAGGATGAGAAGGAGGAGGAGGAGGAGGATGATGATTGTTTGTTTGTTTTTGTAAACAAGTTTTGTAAACAATATATTGATAATTATGTTTGTGTGCTTATTGTGTTGTATACAACGAGTGTATATATATACATTGCACCTTACTTTGGTCTCATAGGCCACATAAGTTATGTGAAAAAAAAAATAGTGAAAAAAACAAAAAACCTTCAATTACAGTAAACTAAAGTTTACTGGGGTGAGCGGCAGTCGCCGCTGTTGCCATACGCGGCTCATTTTCTGCAAACTTCACGGCTCTATATCTCGGTAAGTACCGATGGCAAAAAATTTTTTTTTGGACTAAAACACTCAGAAAAATAATCTTAACATTTTCATAAGAAAAAAAATATTTTTTTTTTTAAATATTTGGGCGACATAGAATGACAGTTTCAGAGAGGGGCCTGAAAAACAGTCAAAGGGTTAAAGAGCATATTTTTGTGAAGGTAATAAGACAAAAAAAAAAATTCTGATCAGTACTTACCTAGATACAGTGCCAAGAAGTTTGTCAAAAAAGATGTGGTGGCGGCAACATCGACGAATTCCACATACGCGCATTACATTATTTTGCGGTTTTACATTTTTTCTTTTCTTTTCCAATTTTTTTCTATTCCTACTAACATTTGGGGCCTGAGAGACCAATACTGTATATAATGTATATATATAAACTCCCCTGTATTGAACACAATAACCGCACTAAAGTTATTATCATATTATTGTTTACCACTGTTGTTTATTACAATAAAACATACACAAATCTTGTATAATACTAATGTTCTATCATATATTTACATATTTACAATCACTGGACATGGTTTTAGAACTGCTGGAGCTTGTGGAACTCCTTGAAACAAGGCACCATGCACAGAGGCACCTTACATTCCTCACACATAAACCGAGTGTCTTTGCGTCTTTGTTGCCGTCGTTTTGTTTGTGCACAGACGATGCATCTCTTCTGAGCAAATTTCTTCTGAGTTGAAGGAAGTTGTATTATGAAATGATCACCTTCCCTCTCAAACGCTTGGGTATATCCTGAGGAATTCGAGGACCTGTTGTATAGCAGGTGTTCTTACCTGGTACTTCATTATGAGTTGTCTGACAACAGACAAACAAAATTCACCATACGGTGGTCTGTTGCCAGTCTTTATTTGGTACATATTATATGCATTGAGCATTGAAATGTCCATGAGATGGAAGAAAAGTTTCATGTACCACTTGTAACTCTTATGAACACAGTCAACAAAACCAATCTGCATGTCACATTTGTCAACCAAGCGCATGTTTTGTGTATAATCAATCACTGTCACTGGTTTTCGAATATGTTCATTAGTCCACTCGATCAACTTTGCCACTGTCTTGCATTTCATTACGGTGAATGGTTGTCAACAATGTGACATCTCGTTTGTCATGCCACCGTATGCCATGATGTCATTGGCAGTAAACACCTGCACGTCATCACCACGAGCACCTGCGTTGAGCCTGGGCATATGTTTACGATTAGAACGCACTGTGCCACACACATCTGTCTTGTTCACTCGCATGAAATCACTGAGTAATGGGCTTGTGTACCAGTTATCGGTATATAATGTATGCCCCTTACCAAGATAAGGCCATCATGTTTCTCACTACGTCACCTGAGATACCCAATAACTCTTGGTATCTTTCAATGTTTTACTACCTGTGTATACAACAATATCCAACACCAGGCCACTGTCACAATCACAGAGTACAAACAGTTTTATACCAAAGCGTTTCCTCTTGCTCGGTATGTACTGCTTGAATGACAGTTCTACCTTTGAACAAAATCAAAGACTCGTCAATTACAAGATTCTTGAATGGATAAAAGTATATGCTGAACTTTTGTTTGAGATACATGAAAACATTTCTAATCTTGTATAACCTGTCACTTCTGTCAGGCCTGGTTTTGTCAGAGAAGTGCAACATACGTAAGAGTAAGATAAACCTGTTCACTGGTATGATTCACTGAAGACCGGGATAGAAATTAGCTGATCTGTGGACCAGTATGCTTTTATATTATGCTTATACACATGAGGCATAAGCATTATTGTTGCAAAAAGCAAATACATTTCTGCAACAGTCGTCTCTTTCCACCTGTGTAGTCTTGACTGTGGTGATAAGATCGTATTTGCCATGGTGTACTCAAAATACTTATTACTTTCCCTGACAATAGTTTCCATCAATGGCTGGTCAAAGAATAATTCAAAGAATTCCAGTTCATTGGCCGTGGTTCCAAGGGGACAAGTAGGTAGAATTTCCACTTTGAGAGTCATCAAAGTGGTGAGGCTTGGAAACAAATTGGGATTTTGCTACCAATCCCACATACGGTTTGCTGGTGGATACTGGACATCATAGGCTGGTTGTGCGGGTGTTGTGGTTGTGGTGGGCTGGTGGCTGACGCTCGCTTTGTCCTTGAACTGACGAGTCAGCAGCGTGGGTCCCAGTGTGGGCTGGTGAGTCACGCATGGCAGTGCCACTACCATCACACTAAACACCATCCACTGATTGCCTGTGGTCTATCCATGCCAAGTGTAGCCACATCATCCTCACTATCACTACCTAAAACTGGTGTAGGGCCACGGGATGTACTCCGGGATGTACTCCGTCCCCTGGGCACAGCATAGGGTACACTACCCGAGCGCATGCGGTGGCGAACATACCGACGCTTCACTGGTGATATGATTCCTCACTATCACTACTCGAATGATTGTCGAGCGCAATAAAATCACAATCCACGTCACTATCATCATCATTACTGAAGTCAGAGGCCTGGCCACGCGAAAATATTAGTTTTCTCTTGCGTTGAGGAACAACCGACCGTGAGTCACGAGTGCCCACACCAGAGGTAGAAGGTTGAGGATCGTCAGGGTTTTCTGCACTATTATCGATATCCTGGTCATTCTTTTCGGTCACTAACTGATCAAAGCCGTAGAATTCGTCTTCATTTCCACTTCCATCACTGTCAAAACTATCAGATAGGAAGAGGAGAGTCCCAATTTTCCGGGGAGTGAGAGCTGACTTGCGACGAGGCATGGTGAACAAGGGTAACTGAGCCGGCATTCCCACAATGCTATGCGGGCG